AAGCAAACCAACTTATATACATGATTTTATTCCAATCTTCTGAAAAACGCATGCCATCTGTATTACCTCAAACTTGTGGGAATAAAATACATTAAACTAAACAGAACTTCAAGTAGTCAAAAGAATCTTGTCTTTTTCAGGATATTTCTGAACTCTCTAAAAGAAAACAAGTTCAATTATAGAATCCAAAATTTTTTAAAACACAAGTACCATCAGAGGAAATTGCTATTAATTTTTAAAACTCACTGTTATGCAAATATTAGATAGAATCACATGAAGGTTCAACTATCAGCATATCAGCACTTTCATATGGTTTCACCTAACAGATCATAGAGTAGTTTGTAAATCCCAGGGAACATTAATTTTTTTTCAATCCTTTGCATCATTTTTATTTATTCATTTATGTATTTATATATTTTCAGATGGAGTTTCACCCTTGTTGCCCAGGCTGGAGAGCAACGATGCAATCTGGGTGCACTGCAACCTCCGCCTCCTCAGTTCAAGAGATTCTCCTCCCTCAGCCTCCCGAGTAGCTGGGATTACAAGCATCCACCATCACACCCAGGTAATATTTATATTTTTAGTAGAAATGGGGTGTCACCATGTTAGTCAGTCTGGCCTCGAATTCCTGACCTCTGGTGATCCATCTCAGCCTCCCAAAGTGCTTACACCATGCCTGACCCCTTTGCATCATTCTAAAACCGTCTTTTTATTCAAATGGATAACTGAAACTGAAAACTTTCTAAACTTTACAAAGTATTTATAGCCACTATTTACATTTTTAGTAATACTACAACTTCATTCATTCTTTCATTTATTTGAGATGGAGTCTCACTCTGTTGCCCAGGCTGGAGTATAGTGGTTGTGATTTCCGCTCACTGCAACCTCTGCTTCCCGGGTTCAAGAGATTCTCCTGCCTCAGCCTCCTGAGTAGCTGGGAATACAGGCACCCACCACCGCACCTGACTAATTTTTGTATTTTTAGTAGAGACAGGGTTTCACCATATAGGCCAGTCTGGTCTGAAACTGCTGACCTCAGGTAATCTGCCTGCCTTGACCTCCCGAAGTGCTGGGATTACAGGTGTGAGCCATTGCGCCCGGCCTACAGCATTCTTATAGTAAGAAAGCTATTACTGATAACTCTATTGTAATCTCCAGATATTTACAATTGCAATTTTTGGTCTTTGGTTTTAAGACAAATTCTTGACTGCATGAATATCAATAATAAAAAGATTTTATGCCTGTGTGATGTTTCAAGGTGGTCAGCACGCTGTGCAAAAATTACCTTGAGTAATGCCTAGAACGCTCCATTATAGGCAGGCATTGTTATCACTCCAACCCTCATACTAGACAATAGGCAAAAATACCCATGTCAGCTGGACGTGGTGGCCCACACCTGTAATCCCAACACTTGGAGGATCACTTGGGTGGATCATCTGAGGTCAGAAGTTTGAGACCAGCCTGGGCAACGTGGCAAAATTTTTTCTTTACTAAAAGTACAAAAATTAGGCATGGTGGTGTCTGTCTATAATCCCAGCTATTCAGGGGGCTGAGGCAGGAGAATTGCTTGCCACCCAGGAGGTAGAGGTTGCAGTTTGCTGCAGTCGCGCCATTGCACTCTAGCCTGGGTGACAGACTGAGACTTCTGTCTCAAAAGAAAAAAAAATACAAAATACGCATGTTATGGAAGAAGAAACAAAGGCTTAGGAGGTGACCAGCTGTGAAGGGGCATGGCTGTACCCAGATCTCACGAGTCATAGCTGTATGACAGTGTATTCACTACATCTTTGTTAGGCAACCTGTCCAGTAGTGACTCAGTTATTGAAACAAGTGCATTTCAATATCATGCTCTGAATGAGACATTGCTCTCAGAGAGGAACATATCTCAGGATGTAGAATCTCTAGTTTCTTTTTCCCCGTGCACTAAACATGTGTCCAGAGCTTCTCAGGTGGGCTCCCTACCACAGTGAAGAGGAAGCTTTTATGGCCTCAGCCAAGTATGGGCCCTGCTCCTCCCCAGGCTAACCCTCAGGGCTGGCTTGGTGCCTAAGATAGCCCACAGCTTGTTGCCCCTCAGCTGCTAGCCCGAAACCAACGGCAGAAAAGCAGACCATAATGTGGAGGAGACTGTTTTTTAATGATATTTTGTTCCTAGGAGATTCTAAAAATTAATACCTTATTCCACTGTTCTTTTGGGTTATGTGAGATTATTTTCCAAAATACTGTCAGTAATTGTCGTCTGTATTAACTAATTTTCTGCTGGTGATTATCAACATCTACCATGTTGATAGGCAGGATTGGCTAAATTGGGCCTCCTTACTCTTTAACATGCATACATATCTTCTGAATATTCAAAAAATACAGATTCAGATTCAACAGGTCTAGGATGGCACCTGAGATGCTGCATTTCTAGAAAGCTCCAAGGGACTGGTCCACAGACCACACCTTGAGAAGCATGGATCGAAAGTACTTCAAACAATCCTTGTATCTGCCTGATGATCTGTGAGAATAGGATTAATCTAAAGATTAGTAATGATTCCTTTTTCTGAAAACAATAACAACCAAAATGATTTCTACTTGATTTTATTTTTCCCTATTTACTTTTTCTATGACAGTAGGGGAATTAAATTGAATTCTCTTTCCTAGAGTTTGGGAATAAATCAGGTGTTGGGTTAAATAAACCCCCCTCTCTCTCTCTCTCTCTCTTGCTCTCTCGCTCTTGCTCTCTCAACTCTAGAGAAATGCTCCCCCTTCTCTGAATTTTCCCATCTACTCTTCTTTGGCTTTGCTTGATCTTTTTTCTCCCATGAAGATTTAGGGTTTTTATTGACCGGAGACAGATTTTAGCAAGAATGTCCCAGTTATTTTAGCTTGTGCAGCTGGTCACATTCTTTTGAAATTGGCCTGAAATTAGATTACTGCTCAAGATAGCCATAAAATAATATCAGCACTCAGTATGTAACTCCGAACTATCTGGCAACTTTGAATCAGCTCTGCCAAGATGGACGTGTCCCAGGGTCTCAGCAGTAATAGTGTTGCAGCCTGTTGGGCTTTTGTTTTTTGTTTTTTACTTTGTATTTTTAAATAAGTACTATAACAAGATGCACAAATAATAGTTTTGAGTATACATCATCCAACTTTCATCAAAGGTAACATCTTACGAAACCATAGTACATTATGAAAGCCAGGAAACTAGCGTTGGTATGTATTTTTAACTAAACTACAGGCCGTATTTTGATTTTACAGTTTTTACATGCACTCTTTTTTTGGGGTGGTAGGGGAGGATATACAGTCATATAAAGTTTTACATATCTGTGTATAGATTCATGTAACCACCATCACAATCTTACTTATTGCTAAAAGTGGGTGTTTGGGATTCTGTCCTGAACGCTATTCTGTTTTCATTCTCCACATTATCCCTGGACCCTCTTATCGGTAATGGTGACTGTAACTATCTTTTCTATTTTGATAAGTCTCAAATGTATAACCTTAACCTCTCTTGAGCGCTGTGTCTCACCATTTCCTAGCTTACTTGTGGACACCCACTGACCATTTTATCTACACAGTGAGCTCCAATATAGCCAAAATTCAACCTGTATTCCTTCATTTTTAAACTAAATAATCTCTATTTGGGGGATTAACACCTTGTGGCCCAAGTCAGAATTCCTAGGGATCATCTTAGAAGCATCCAGCCCCCTAATTCAGCTCCACATACTAAAAACAGCCAACATGCCTAGAGCAGGTACTGCATGCCAGATGCTGTCCCACACCCACTAGAGGGGTCAGCTCACCTTGTTCTGATAGCAGTTGCACGCTTTCTCAGAGATGGATTCGAGTGTCATGAGGCCTGAAACTTGTGTAGTTTCAGGGCCCATTAAAGAAAAAGAACAGAAGATTACAAATATTAGAATTAGTATTTACCAAAGTAAATATTTGGGCTAGTGCAAGTGGGGGGCCCTGAAAATTGACCTTCACTAGATTCATAATCTATCTGCCTTTGAGATAAATGCTATTCTCTGTGATTTTACACTGAGACAATCAAGGAACACAAACCTCCTGCCACAGGGGGCTCATTACCTCTTGCTGTATTTTAACAGAGGTCTCCTGTGTGACCTCTCTGCTGTTAACCAGCCCCCTTCATCTATTCTCTACACTCACCCCAGAGGGATCTGCACATGGGGCCACGTCTCTCTACTGATCTGAAGCTGTTACTGGTTCCTGGTCCCTTTCAGAATAAGAGCTAAACATGTTTTGCATGACTCCCCGTGGCTGTCCCCTCTGACCGTGAAGGTGGCATGATGCTGAACTGCTAGGGGCTTCCACCAACATCCCACAGTTCCTACTCCTTTCCACGTGCCCTTCTGCTGCCAGGACTGCTCTCCTGCCATCTCCTCTGCACGCTGCTCTCTTCATCATTTTATCCAAAGTAGAAATTGCATTTTTGGTTATTTTTAGCTTATAGGGGCAACATATGGTTAAAGTAAAAAAAAAAAAAAAATTATACAATGCCAAAAGAAAAGCACAAAGAATGAGTAAAAACTACCAGAACTTTGACCCCATTTTCTGGGATGAACCACTGTTAAGTGTTTGGTATATAAACTTTTCATTTTTCCTGCCGTGTGTGTGTGTGTGTGTGTGTGTGTGTGTGTGTGTGTGTTCTAGTCTATAAAATTGGAATATGTTACTATGTTATTATTCTTTTTCCTTAATCTTCCAGACTTCTCCCCAAAATGTTACTCATTTTGTTTTGTTTTTGCAAATCTCTTAGATTATTAGTAAAGCCGAGTCTCTCTTACTGGATTTCTTCTCCTGTAAACTGCCTATTGATATGACCCTCTTCTGTATAGAGCATAGATGAAGGTAGTGGTCATGTATGTTGAAATATTTGTCCAGCTTTATCTTTAGTTTTTTGACTTTGTAAGGATGAGAAATTTTAATTTGTATATACTTTTGGATGCCTTTAGAACAATTACCATACCTTTTTTTTTTAATCTCCATAGTTTCAGCATCTAGTACACTATCTGCGATGGAACAGGTGAGCTGGAATATTTGTAGAATGCATGGGTGGACTAAAGACCTATCATCTCACTCTAGATCACCCAGCATGTTGGAGGTAAGAGCTTATCCTCAGTCTCTTTACCCCTTCTCATACAGAACCAACCACCAAATCCTGCAAATTCAACCTTCAAAACGTCTTTACACATCTCACCACCAGCACCGCTCTGTCTGACTTATCATGTCTCACCTGGATTCCTGCAGTAGCTTCCTCTCTCTGGTCTTTCTATGCTAGTGCTTTCTCTATCTGTGACCAGGGTTTTCTAAAACACAATCTGTTCATTTTACTCTCCTGCTTAAAAACCTTGAATGACTCCATAGTGTCTGGAAAAGAAACCTAAATGCTTTAGAAAGGAGTTCAAGGCCCTGCCTAAAATCTGGTCTGACTTCTCTACTCAGCCCCATCTCTTTTTTCTTCTCTCTCTTTACATCTTCTGTTCTCCAGCTCTGCCACACTTTCAGCTGTTCTGGGACAGACCTTATATTTCACAGCTCTTTGCTTATTAGATCCATCTCAAATGTCAGACATTCCGTGAAGTCTTGTCCTGTCTCTGTATCAAAATTATCACACTATTATTACCACCATTAGCACCACCACCCTTACCTGGTATACCTCCCTTTATGCTCTACACTTCCTCAATAATTCAAAGATAAGTTTATATTTCGTTCCCTATTTCAACTTCCTGCCTGTATAGAAACAAATTTCTGGTTCAGCAGTTTCAATGAATCAATCAAATATTTGCACACCTGTTATGTGCAAAGTACTGACTCCGTTTATAATACTCAACTCACTTTTCAGCTGAAATTTTGAGTGCAGCTGCGTTCTGAAAAATTATTAGTTTATAAGAGTGTAAAAATATATGCATTTATAAAAATCTTGGGGGACCTTCTTTTTTGGCTTTAGAGCCCCCCCTCTGTCTCTGTACAAGAGAGCTTCTTCCGTCTTTTTCCTTCTTTCTTGTCTACTAAACTCTCCACTCCTTAAAACCACCCCACATGTGTCCATGTCACTTTATGTAAATTGGCATGAGGACCAAGAACCCTGGTGTTCCTCCACTCATCAGAGCCATATCATTTTGGTGCATGGGACGGGAAAGGAAATTCAATGATCAGACGGAAGCAATCAAACTCCAAATGGTGCTGTAAACCGAACCACACATGGACATGCCATTCTTCTGAGGACCCTTAGATCGACCCCAGGAGGAGTCGTAGTTGCTCTTCCCCATTCAGTGCCCCTTTTCAGCAGGAAGTAGCCAGAAAGAGTTGTCGCCCCAAAACCCCCTAACAGCAGTTAGTGTGGCATCTCCACAGGGGAAAATGTAGGAAAAGAGATCCATGGGAAGTTTTCATTTTTTAAAGCATCTCCAGAAAAGTTTCTTGTATTAAAGCCCTGGCTCTTAGAGCCAGGCCAGCAACCTTTGATATATAAATGTCAGCCATTAGAAACAGGGTCCACCCAAACATGGAGATTCCATGGCCTTCTTGCCCTTTCCCCACATGTTCCTGGCAACATGGCTGACCCCACATATCCCCATTGCATGTAGAACATCATGACTCCCTGCATTTGCATATTAAAAGGCTAGGTTGGGAAGGCCAGCTTTTTCATGGGCTACATGAATGACATGCCTAGTCAAACCAATCCCCTGAGCCCAATGCAAATAAATCACTGCCTCTTCCAACCTCTGCATGTATACCTGGGTAGTATCCTGGCAGGTGGGGACCTTCTCTTTTGGCTTTGGAGCCCCCTTCCCTCTGTCTTTGTACCAGGGAGCTTCTTTCTTCTGTCTTCTCCCTTTCTTCTTGTCTATTAAACTCTCCTTTCCTTAAAGCCATACAAAAAAAAATAGTTAAATTGGGATGAAAAAAGCACTGTAAGCTGCTCTTGGAACAGGAGATCTGAAGCAAACAGGGAGGTAGATGGCAGTGTATTCCCAGCCTTGTTACCTAAGCAAGTGAGAGGGAAGCAGGTCTTCTATTCACCGGTGATATCTTCTCACTCACTATGTGATGATTCAGTCATCTGGCACAATGTCCTCTAGTTAAATTAAAATATGTCTGAGTTTTTGGTCTAAATATAGTAATAGACACAAATATTAAAATCATGTTTCCTAAGCTTTTAAAAAATTATATATTCTCAGAACATGTTGGACAATCATTTGCCTCTGCAAATTTAAGGCACATGACTTAATTGGGTGTTCTCTGTTCTCACTGCAACATGCTTTAGAACTAAATATAAATAAGAAAAGGATTCAATATGCATAATATTAGTAAACCTTGCCCCTACTAAAATAATCATGGCTATAAAACTTTAAGGCTTATCACTTTCTTTCAAGGAAACAGTTGGGCATCTTTTAAACATGTCAACAACAAATAAAATTCTTTCATTTGTTCATTCTTTTCTCCCTTTCAGCATGTTAAGCACTGTATGAGCTGCTGAGATACAGAAATAAACAACAACACAGGTGTGTCCTTTGCTCAACCCCAGGCTTAAATGAGCTTCCAAATGAACACAAACAAATCTGGAAGGCTTCTGAGGAAGAAGGACCATTAAAAAAAGGTAGAGAGAGAATATATTGAGATCATGTTTATTAATCACTGAAATAAAATATTCTCCAAAATTTCAGTGATTCTCCAGCCAATATATTATTACCCCTCCTTATTACGGGTTTACAGCCAAATTCTACCAGATGTACAAAGAGGAGCTGGTACCATTCCTTCTGAAACAATTCCAAACAATACAAAAAGAAGGAATCCTTCCTCACTCATTTTATGAGACTAACATCATCCTGATACCAAAACCTGGCAGAGAAACAACTAAAAAAGAAAACTTCAGGCCAATATCTATGATGAACATAGACGCAATAATCTTCAACAAAATACTGGCAAACTGAATGCAACAGCACATCAAAAAGCTTATCCATCACAATCAAGTAGACTTCATCCCAGGGATAAAAGGCTGATTCAACATACACAAATCTATAAACATAATCCATCCCATAAACAGAACCAAAAACAAAAACCACATGATCATCTCCATAGATGCAGAGAAGGCCTTCAACGAAATTGAACAGCCCTTTATGCTAAAAACTCTCAATAAACTAGGTATGGATGGAACGTATGTCAAAATAATAAAAGCTATTTACAACAAACTCACAGCCAATATCATACTGAACAGGCAAAAGCCAGAAGCATTCCCTTTGAAAACTGGCACTAGACAAGGATGCCCTTTCTCGCCATTCCTATTCAATATAGTATTGGAATTTCTAGCCAGAGCAATCAGGCAAGAAAAAGAAATAAAGCGTATTCAATTAGGAAAAGAGGAAGTCAAATTGTCTCTATTTTGATTTTATATTTAGAAGACCCTATCATCTCAGCCCAAAATCTCCTTAAGCTGATAAGCAACTTCAGCAAAGTCTCAGGATACAAAATCAATGTGCAGAAATCACAAGCATTCCTATACACCAATAACAGACAAATAGAGAGCCAATTGCTACAAAGAGAATAAAATACCTAGGAATATAATTAACAAATAATTTGAAGGATCTCTTCAAGGAGAACTATAAACAACTGCTCAAGGAAATAAGAGAGGACACAAACAGATGGAAAAACATTCCATGCTCCTGGTTAGGAAGAATAAATATCATGAAAATGGCCATACTGACCAAAGTAATTTGTAGATTCAATGTTATTCCCATCAAGCTACCGTATACCTTCTTCACAGAACTGGAAAAACCACCTTAAACTTCATATGGAGCCAAAAGAGAGCCCACATAGCCAAGACAATCCTAAGCAAAAAGAACAAAGCTGGAGGCATCATGCTACCTGACTTCAAACTATATTACAAGGCTACAGTAATCAAAACAGAATGGTACTGGTACCAAAACAGAGATAGAGACCAATGGAACAGAACAGAGGCCTTGGAAGTAACGCCACACATCTACAACCATCTGATCATTGACAAAATTGACAAAAACAAGCAATGGGGAAAGGATTCCCTGTTTAATAAATGGTGTTGGGAGAACTGGCTAGCCATGTGCAGAAATAAACAACAGATACAGAAATAAAAAACAACAACAGAAAGCTGAAACTGGACCCCTTCCTTACACCTTACACTAACATTAACTCCGGGTGGATTAAATAGTTAAACATAAGACCTAACACCATAAAAAAACCTAGGCAATACCATTCAGGACATAGGCATAGGCAAGGACTTCATGACTAAAACGCCAAAAGCAATGGCAACAAAAGCCAAAATAGACAAATGAGATCTAATTAAACTTAAGAGTTTCTGCACAGCAAAAGAAACAATCATCAGAGTGAATTGGCAACCAACAGAATGGGAAACAATTTTTGCAATCTACTCACCTGACAAAGAGCTAATATCCAGAATCTACAAAAAACTAAACCAAATTTACAGGAAAAACAAAACAAAACCCATTCAAAAGTGGGTGAAAGATATGAACAGACACTTTTCAAAAGAGGACATTTATGAGACCAAAGAACATATGAAAAATGCTCATCATCACTGGTCATTAGAGAAATGCAACTCAAAACCACATTGAGATACCATCTCATGCCAGTTAGAATGGTGATCATTAAAAAATCTGGAGACAACAGATGCTGGAGAGGATGTGGAAAAATAGGAACACTTCTACACTGTTGGTGGGAGTGTAAATTAGTTCAACTATTGTGGAAGATAGTATGGCGATTCCCCAAGGACCTAGAAATGGAAATTCCAGCAATCCCATTTGACCCAGCAATCTCATTACTGGGTATATACCCAAAGGATTATAAATCATTCTATTATAAAGACACACACACACACACGTATGTTCATTGCAGCACTGTTTACAATAGCAAAGACCTGAAACAAACCCAAATGCCCATCAATGGTAGACTGGACAAAGAAAATGTGGCACATTTACACCACGGAGTACTTTGCAGCCATAAAAAGGATGAGTCCATATCCTTTGTAGGGACATGGATGAATCTGGAAACCATCATTCTCAGCCAACTGACACAAGAACAGAAAACCAAACACCACATGTTCTCACTCAT